TTAGGGCTGTTGTACATAGGGTCGCTATGAGTCGCAGGCGACTCAACAGCACATAACAACAACAACAACATAGAAATTATCTGGAGCTTTTGTTTAGAGAGCACAGCTTTTTGGTTTGGGAATAGGTCCTACTTATGTCACCTCTGAGATTCGCTGGATATTTTTGTTTTCATAGAAATTATCTGGAGTTTTTGTTTTGAGAGCACAGCTTTTTGGTTTGGGAATACATCTTACTTATGTGGTTCTTTCTCCTTTCCATTAAAATCTTAGTTTAGGTGTTTTCTTTATTGTCACATTTATAACATTTATCTTTTTTTCTGCATTATGATCACATTCATTTTCATCTAAATCCAGGGTTCACATCAATAATAGATTATTTTTAGAGCAGCTTTAGGTTTACAGGATAACTGTGTATAAAGTACAGAGAGTTGCCATACACCCTCCCCTCTCCCATCCAAACAGTTGCTTCTGTTAACACCTTGCAACAGTGTGTTGCCTTTGTTACAACTGATGTATCAAAGGAACTGGACATACAGTTACCATGAATCAAAACCAACTTAATGCAACTAATGGCCAGGAACAGTTTCAATTAGATTAGCGTTGTGTCCTTCTGTGAATGTTAACTCATGCACAATGTCATGTGTTCACCATGATCGCACACTAGAAAGTACTTACCAGGGCCCTGGTAGCATGCCTTAGTGACAATGGCGCTCAGGGTCCAAACTCAACATTCCCTGGTGGATTCTTGAGAAAGTGCTGGGGAATGTTAGGTATTACTCAGTCTTGCTGGCATACTGCTATCTGAATGACCTAGACTCCTTCCATGCACTTACCTGACAAAGGTGGGATACAGCTCAGCATTCACTAGGCAAAGCATTTCAACTACAACGGTAATTCCCAGTCGGCCAATGCAAGCAATCACAGTATTTAACCAGTGCAAATCTAGACAGGAAACACGAAGTCAGTGTGGGGGGAAAACATGACTTTGCTTAGCAAGCTACGATAAGGACCACATTTGATGGGATTTGGACTTTCAGAGCTGAAGGACTCAAAAGACTGCCTTATCTAAATCTTCCCTTTGAGATAAGTAAACCAGAGTTCCAGAGAGATCGCAACAGGACTTAATAATGACACTTAGAGAAGGCTCTGTTGTGCAGAGGAGATAACATTTTTGGATTCTCAGCTCTTTCTCTCCCTGTCTCCTCTTCTCTTCTCTTCTCTTCTCTTCTCTTCTCTTCTCTTCTCTTCTCTTCTCTTCTCTTCTCTTCTCTTCTCTTCTCTTCTCTTCTCCT